GAAGAGAAAGTAGGTAAAAATCTTGAAGACATAGGGATAGGCAGAGAGTTCATGAACAAAAACCAAACTGCACAGGAAATATTTCAAAGAATCACCAACTAGGATCTCATCTTATTGAAAAGTTTTTGCACATCTAAAGAAATCACTAACAGAGTAAAAAGAAAACCCACAAATTGGGAAAAAATTTTAGCCAACTGTCACTTGGACAAAGGACTTCTATCTAGAACATATAAAGAACTAAAAAAAAATCAGCCACCCTAAATTCAAAGATCCAGAAAGTAATCAAACAAAAAATGCAATTTATAAATTAGTGAAATAGCTAGTTCTTTGAAAGGAATAGTAAAATGGTAATATTAAGATGGTATTAGTGAAAAAAATTAGAAAAAATAAGTAAAAGTAAAAGCATAAAAAATAAATAAACTGAAAGCTTTTAGTTTTTGTCCATTTAGTATGATGTTTGCTGTTGATTTGTCATAGATGGCTTTGATCAGATTGAGATAAAGACCATCTACTCTGATTTTCTGTAGGGTTTTTGTAATGAATGAGTGTTGTACTTTGCCAAAAGCTTTTTCTGCATCTATTGAGATGATCATGAGTTTTTTGTCCTTGTCTCCATTGATATGGTATATAATGTTCATTGATTTGCACATATTGAACCATCCCTGCATCCCTGGGATGAATCCCACTTGGTCATGGTGTATGATTTTCATGATGATTTGCTGCATTCTGTTTGCTAGTATTTATTGAGTATCTTTACATCTATGTCATTAGGAAGATTGGTCTGTAATTTTCTTTCTTGATTGGGCCATTCTCTGGTTTTGATATCAGTATAATACTTGCCTCCAGAAATGAGTTAGGGAGAATTGCTTCCTTTTCAAATTCATTGAAGAGTTTGAGGAGTGTCGGCATCAAATCTTCTCTGAATTTCTTGTAGAATTCTTCTGCGAATCCATCAGGACCAGGGCTTTTCTTTGTTGGTAAGTTTTTAATCACATTTTCAATCTCATTAATTAATATTG